ATCGGCGTGTCTGTACATTGAATATTTTTATGAAAAAAATGAAAAAGGGTATCATAAAAAGTGTTATAGGAAACATAAAAACCATTTTTGGAATTTTTCTCTGTCTGTCTGTCTGTCTGTCTGTCTGTCTGTTTGTTTGTCTGTCTGTTAGCGATAAATTGAAAACTACTTATCGGATTTTGATACAGTTTTCACTGCTTACTTAAGCAAAGCTTGGGGCAGGACCCAGGCTTTGTTTCATCTCAATTGGTTCACTCAAACGGGAGATTAAAGCTACTATCCTACTACTGGACTAATTTGTATGGTGTTTTTGATAGTATTTTTGTAAGTATTCAAGATTAATTCTGTGCAACATTAAAGCTTTGTTTAAAAAAAAAGCTAAGTAAAAAGATAAGGAATTAGTTCCCATGCAAAAACTAGATGGCGTTTTTCTTCATAAAATGCGCTGTATACATATTTTCACAAGTTAATTAAGGGACAAGTGCCGACCATTTGCATTTTAATAATAATAATGCGAATTTCTTCAATTGAGACTTATACGATAGGTACGATTTTAGTTTTGCTCGGTATAGGGATATTCTTGATTTTGGTTTGCGATTTGGTTAGTTGTTAGGAACAGTAGTGGATTTCTCTATAGGCCGCGTACCCGGCGGGCAAAGTATAGGGGGCTGCAAATTAGTGGGGTCTTAGTAGCGTTGCTTGCCTTTCGCCTTTCGCTTCTTTGCGTAGGCGATATTCCATGAAAATTATAACAAATCAAGCGGGCCTGATAAGTAGGTACCATTCGTCGGCTCTATAATATCATGTACTAACTTTCTTTGTTTAATTTTTTGTGCCTTCCAGCGAGTCTTTTCTCTTAATCTTTATTGAGCCTAGGGCGAGCAACGGACAAATATGTCACTGTTTAGGAATATAGATTTGGTAAGGCTAGGATATTCAGATATTATTTTTCTTTGTGGTTTGGAAATTATGTTTCTTTTTTTGTCACTGACTCGCAAATTGTATGTGATATTTTTTTTTGTATTTAAAATACTTATTTTGTAGTATTTTCTAAATCATTGAATAATTTACCTTTTAGTATTTATTACAAAAATGCCTCGATAGAATTTAAAATAATAAGAACGATTTGATCTCAACAATCTAATGAAAACCAAACACGACTTACAGCCAGTTTCCGAAAGCGCAATTAATTTTAATTTACGATAAATCTCTTGTCAATCGTTGTTTAACATGATCTGAGTTTTTTAAATTGTTTATAGTGCTAATCTTTGCACTTAAGATTGAACATTAAAATATGTAGAAAATGTGCGAAAAGATTGTCGCCGCTGTGGGAATCGAACCCACGTCTTCGGTATTCGCGGCCTGACGCTCTAGCCACTGAGCTAAACGGCTGATGACCACACCGACGAAAATCTTAACGCATTCCTCTACATTGTTTTCTACATATTTTAATGTTCAATCTTAAGTGCAAAGATTAACACTACAAACAATTTAAATTTCTAAAAAAGCAATGGCGACATCTCTCGTTCGAATTATCGTTGTAAAACGATATTCGAAATTGTTTGTATGCTGGAAAGGATATAACAATAGATGGCGCCAAGCATTGCTTCAAATGCTAAGAAAACAATGTAGAGGAATGCGTTAAGATTTTCGTCGGTGTGGTCATCAGCCGTTTAGCTCAGTGGCTAGAGCGTCAGGCCGCGAATGCCGAAGACGTGGGTTCGATTCCCACAGCGGCGACAATCTTTTCGCACTTTTTATACATATTTTAATGTTCAATCTTAAGTGCAAAGATTAACACTATAAACAATTTAAATTTCTAAAAAAGCAATGGCGACATCTCTCGTTCGAATTATCGCTGTAAAACGATATTCGAAATTGTTTGTATGCTGGAAAGGATATAACAATAGATGGCGCCAAGCATTGCTTCAAATGCTAAGAAAACAATGTAGAGGAATGCGTTAAGATTTTCGTCGGTGTGGTCATCAGCCGTTTAGCTCAGTGGCTAGAGCGTCAGGCCGCGAATGCCGAAGACGTGGGTTCGATTCCCACAGCGGCGACAATCTTTTCGCACTTTTTCTACATATTTTAATGTTCAATCTTAAGTGCAAAGATTAGCACTATAAACAATTTAAATTTCTAAAAAAGCAATGGCGACATCTCTCGTTCGAATTATCGTTGTAAAACGATATTCGAAATTGTTTGTATGCTGGAAAGGATGTATAACAATAGATGGCGCCAAGCATTGCTTCAAATGCTAAGAAAACAATGTAGAGGAATGCGTTAAGATTTTCGTCTTCGGTGTGGTCATCAAGCCGTTTAGCTCAGTGGCTAGAGCGTCAGGCCGCGAATGCCGAAGACGTGGGTTCGATTCCCACAGCGGCGACAATCTTTTCGCACTTTTTATACATATTTTAATGTTCAATCTTAAGTGCAGAGATTAGCACTATAAACAATTTAAATTTCTAAAAAAGCAATGGCGACATCTCTCGTTCGAATTATCGCTGTAAAACGATATTCGAAATTGTTTGTATGCTGGAAAGGATATAACAATAGATGGCGCCAAGCACTGCTTCAAATGCTAAGAAAAAAATGTAGAGGAATGCGTTAAGATTTTCGTCGGTGTGGTCATCAGCCGTTTAGCTCAGTGGCTAGAGCGTCAGGCCGCGAATGCCGAAGACGTGGGTTCGATTCCCACAGCGGCGACAATCTTTTCGCACTTTTTCTACATATTTTAATGATCTGAGTTGCTAGAACGTCTTAAACAACATTGATTTTGATTTGCAATTAGTCACTGATTAACGGACAATCAACAGAAAATCGAGTTTCTGAAAGCATTTTTCGGTGGTCAACGAGCTGTCAAAAGTTTTATTAAGTAATCTGTCAATTTGGACGATCAATCGTTTGGTTAAAAATGTTATTTATCAAAAATCTTAGTTTTTATTAAAAATAAACATAATTCCCTAATACGTTGTTAGGACATTCATGTGTTCTATTACCTATTTATTATTTATTATTATGCGAACATATCATGTGATTAGAAAAAATGCAATTCAAAAGTTACTAAATAATATGGATTCTTTCTTTTTATAATACTTACTTGTTTAGTATGGATAAAAGTTCATTTTTTTCACGTTCTGTAAAGTTTTTTTTGACATTTTGCATGTATTTATATAAATTTATTTTTTTTATAACTCGAATTTTTACGTTGGCAATCACACGGTGACAGGACTGGATAGTGACGTTAATTTAAGTTTTGTTTAAAAAGGGACAGCTATACAATAGAAAGAGTTAGTTGAAGTGAATCATTCATTTCATTCATTATCATTGGTTATACAGTGATTAGCTAATTTTTCTTGAACACACCTTCCAGAAACCCAAGGCAGTTTAACAAGAGATTAACAGCTGATCATTTTTGACATAGTGTTATGTGATTGCTGCTTTGATTGGCCTTTCGGAAACTGGGCATTAGTGTTGATACCCATTTCGCCATAGACACCATTCATTATCTCGCACATTGGAGTCAGTTATATGTTAATTCGCGAATACCCCTCGCTAGATCAATGACCATTGCGCAGTTGTCAAGGCATTGCCTTCGGCGTGGGTTCGATTCTCACACTGGACAATTATTTGTGTGACCCATAGTAATTGTTTCCCAGAAGGGAAAACTATGAATGTGGTATTGAAAGTGATATTTTATTGTACACTAGCTTTTCGACCGCGGTTCGGCCCGTATGTACCACATTTTATATCGTGCTTAAAAAGTAGCCTTCCTCAATAAATTGGCTATCTAACAGTGCAAGAATTTTTCTAATCGGACCAGTAATAGCTAAGATTAGTGAGTTCAAACAAACTGATGCTAGCTAGACTGCTAGCATCTGCTTGATACATGTATCTCATAAACTGTGATATTTAGACAGTTGAAATTTTCACTGTTGACGCTATAACAACAAATAAAGTAAATCAGAATATTTTTTTAAGTGGGGCTCTCATACAACGGACATAGTTTTATTGCCTTTTTTATGGATTATGGTATGGAACTCTTCGTTCACGATTACTACTCGCATTTGGCTATTTTTTAAATTTATATAATCTAACAATCATCATCATTTGACAGACCATAATATAATTGTAGTTAACTATAGTTTCATACAATTCAGCTGTAGCGATTACTTTTTTTTTAAGTTGATATAAATTTTTTATTTATGAACCGATTTGAATAAAACTAACACTAAATGTTAAGTGAAGTACTACAATGCATAAGTGAAAGTTGCACCCGAATCGGTTAAGCCGTTTCCGACATTACGCGCACAAACGCACATACACACGGACAAAAATTTTAACAACCATTGTTTTGGGTTCTATTGTGTTGATAAAGGAGGATCTTTAATAGTAGTTTTTCTCAAATATTTTCCGTGTACCGACAAACACAAGTAACATTTTTATTATATGTATAGATATCTGTCTGTATCTGTCTGAATTTTTCGCTTTCATCCTATTCCACGCGGACGTAGTCGCGGGCAACAGCTAGTTTTAATATATAACAGACACTCCAATTTTATTTATCTGTATAGATGAGCGCTTTTACCGTTAGCTTTGATTATTATGTCTCCTCTAGCTTATTCATTTCGCAATGAAGTATATTTTATCGTGTGGGTTAAACAGTACCCTGTTAAAAATAAAACATTATGGTAACATCGTGTGAAGACATTTTTAATTAGAAATTGTTATCTAATAAAATATCCCATAAGATGTAAGGAGGAAACAAACACTTCCATTTATAATACATCATTTAAAAGCAAAATAGTTACTTATTCTGTAAGAACGTATTGTACGCGTTGTACTTAGTCAAAATTTTATTCAAATAATTTCAGCCGTTGCGACGCTTCGGGTAAAACGGACATAAACACTTGCACAGCATATTAATCGTCTTTAATGTAAACGTGTAGAGTAGAATAAATAATGAAAATAGTTTTATCGTTTAATAATTAATTACTTACTGTGAGTAGCACAAGTCGGTTGCAACGAGCATCAAACGAAGCAGGACGGTGGACGCCCAGAGAAATCTCTCGCCCGCCATTATTAACCAAAAATCTCCACGGTGCTACTATTCAGGCAATTTCAAAACATCATACTATCTATTTTCATCTAAATTTGCGAATATTTCAATGCAGTTCGGACGACATTCTCGCTTTCGAGCTGTTCTTTAATTTTGTTTTTTTTTTTTAAATAAATAATACTCGGAAATTTGATGTAAAATTTAGTTACATAATTAAAGTGTCTCGGACATGGATTTCGCGTATGTTGTACAGTTTTGTAACTCTGTGGCGGCCGCAAAGCGCGCGCTTTTTGACAGCGAGCGGCGGAAGCGCGGGAAACAATGATGGCCACGGTGCAAAATTCACAGTTGAAAAGTTACGACGCATGCGTGAATTATTTCTTATTTTAATCGGACCCATCGTAAATATAATGGCGTGTAATAGAGCGGGACTATTTTTAGCGTGGAGCATTCTGGATCATTTGACGTGATTGACAAACAGATAGGAATCAAAGCAATGTCACCGTGACTACTTCTAATGTCGGAGCTTTCCTGTAGGCTACAACAGTTTTCACTTTACCTATTAACAAATTGAGATAGCTGGTATATGTTTTGTTACTGATATATGTATGTCTCTTAATTAGGAAAATATGACTTTGAATGTAAATAAAACATTAATATAGTAAATCCTTCGCTACAGAGTGTTAGCGACTTGGAAGTCAATGCTAACCCAGTAGTTAAAATGCCGGACGACCGGTCTGAACGGTGTGGTACGGAGTTCGAATCCAACCGACAAGTAGCAAAAAGGTTTGCTCTTTTAGACTTTTCTACTTCCCAAACTGATTAAGTAAGCGTGTTGGAATGTGAATCGTGAGCAATACCTATATCTGTTTACACTGTCAAAGAGCGTGAGAGAGATTATGACCTCGCTATTACTCATCTCGCCCTTACAACAGACATCTCCAGCCGATGCCGCGCGATCAACGATGCTTCGTGGTAGCCAACAGCCTCTCATCTATAACTTGCTTTCACGAGATGCTTGTTATGACCACGAGGGCGTTGCGGTGCGCTTTAAGACACTCGAGCGTTTGCGCAATGCTGATTTTTCATACGTAACAGCCTATAGGGAGGCCACTCCACCTGGTGATTGGTTCTAGAATATTCGTTCAACCGGACATGTAAGCCAATCGACGAAATCGTATCGATGCATATTCGTTCGGGCTTTTACGAAACGCCAAGGTTGCTAAATATTGAGATTACACGATCCACAAATACTTTATTCTTTACTTTATTCACTACCAATATATCTTATTGGTCTTTATCTTAAGAAAACTATTCACGGATAATTTTTCACCATTTATATTTGAATTTTGTCGAAACGCGAAAAGACTATATCTTTTTACCAGCTAAACATGGTTCAAGTTCAGACTTTATTTCACGGCTGGGGCTTTTATTGAACTATATTAATAAATCTGATCAATGGTTGTAAAGGTCCATGTATTATTCGTATAACTCTGCTAAACAGTCATCCTATTTACATTTTAAATAGTAGTACAGGTCTTGTAATTTTGTGTTAGAGAAGCAGCTTCTACCGCTGCAGAAATGGGCGGGCCTCGCCGGGAAAGAATCACGGTGTTTTCTCGTCTTGTCTCAGTGAGGTAATCGAGGCCAACTTTCTTGAAGGTGGGCAACTCGTCCATAAACCTTTAGGTCTTGTAGATGTCCAAAGGTGGCAGTAATCACTTAGCATCTGGTGAACCACGTGCTAACTTTCCATAAACCTAAATCAATTGAATTGACGGTAATGTTAGTTTGTTGTTTCTTATGAAACGTCAAAATTTTACAAAGAAATTAACACGTTCGTATGTTACTATTCGTAAGTTACCACCGGTTCGGAAAGCAGTTTCTGTTGAGAAGAAACCGGCGTTAAAAGGCGGCAACGCATCTAGTACCCTCGTAGGGTTTTGCACAAACATGTCATGTCACATGCTATAAAAAGTATCCTCACGTACACGTATGCATATATGTTTATAATGATACGGATAGATGTGCAAGAAGGGGCAAGGATAGTAAAAGAGGTCATATAATGCCTGATTTCTGCATTCCCCATAACAGGAGTGAGGGTTTATGTGTGTGAGTTTATTGATTATTTTTATATCCTAGATTTAATCAGTAAAGTACAAAATATCACTGTTACCGGGTGTAGTTAGGAGGAAGAGGTTAACACTACTCATCACTTCCATGAAGTGGTATTTCTCACATAGGCCAAACAAAAAGAACGATAAACCTCGTGTCATCCTACGAAATACCGAACAAAGTGCAGTCTGTAAAAGTACTTAAAATCTTCCCAATTATCATGAGGTCAGATTTGATAACAGATTTGATAACCTTGAACACCAATGAATATCAAGTTCGATTCGAAAGGTCAAAATAAACCTCCAATCAATACTGAAGTTTTTTGAGCGCTTTGGATTTTATAATAAATAAAATTGTATCCAACCAGATAACAGTGCTGGTTGTGTCCACCGTGGGGCTTTAGTCGAGTCAGATATCCATAAGGAATTTAAAACGCACCGTCAACGTAGGTTAACATTTTGATTTTAATACTTACGTCATATTCTCGCAGTGCTGGACGACCCCCCACTAGATGGAGTGACGACCTGTGCAAATGTGCGGGAAGTCGATGGATGCAGGTGGCTCAGGATCGTGATTCGTGGCGGTCTGTGGGGGAGACCTATGTTCAGCAGTGGACTCAAACAGGCTGAAATGATGATGATGACGTCATAGTATATAATGACAGTAATGACGTCTAACGTAATCATGAATAAATAAACATGAAAATAAACAGTTTGAAACTATCAGTCGTTCGAAAAACTGTCCGTGAGTGTTGCCAAGGAGCTACTGCTGTGTCTAAAGCTGCGGCCGCTCGACAATTACTTGTATATGCGACATAAACTTCGAATCGAAACCAGCACCCGCCTCTGCCGAGTATTCTATCCACTAGACCGCGTGGCCTTTGGCGCGTTAGCTGCGTCACTTGACGGTCGTCGGCCGCGACCACTTGAGCACGTTTGCCGAACGCCTTTGTGGGTTTCGCGCAGTAGGTACGAAGCTCTCGAGTGACGGGAAGAATTCCTGGTACATTGATTCAGTACGGGCGACGAAATATAAGGAAGAGAAATAATCGTGCCTCCCAAACGGAACATGGTAGGCAAACAGTGTTACCACGAGCTCGATAAGGGCACGAAAATAAAACACTATTTGTGTGTTTTTGTAGAAATTATAATAATATAGGGTTTTTAACAATTTTATGTGAAAATGGAATGAGTGAATTAGAATGACAAGACAAAAGTCAAAATGGAAAAAAGGAAGAAAAAGTAATTGATCAAAGGTTCGATTTATAAATCACCAGCGACACGCCCCGGCTTCGCACGGGTGCAACGTATTATATATATAAACCTTCCTCTTAAATGACTCTATGTAGTAGAAAAATCCGCATGAAGATCAGTTACGTAGTTTTAAAGATCTAAGCATACGAAGGGACAGTCAGACAGGGGGACGTATTTGTTTTATACTATGTAGTGATTGGCAACAAAAAGTTTATCTTATGTTGTGAAAAACGGCTCTCGAACACCACGTTAAAATTAGCACACTTAACCAAAAACGTCTCACGAGTTGTGAACTTCTGAGTATAGCATGGATGTAACAGATATTTCTAAGGTTGATAATCCCCAAAACGTGTTCCGTTGAATACGCCAATGACATTATAATTTAGATTTGTAAAATTCATGGGGAGTTTTTAGCGTAGAAAAAGCTACTATGAGAAAATTATTCAATACATCTTTATATATAATTCTTCTGTACGAGTGTATGTCACTGATTTTAATGAATTTTTACGTGTCTTCAGGTGGATTTGAGAATGGTTAAGATTCGCAATTTGGCCTACATTTTCTTTATTTTTCTTTTAAAACTGTTTTCGGATTTCAGTCGCGTTTAAAGGACAACGTATTTCGGATCCTTTAGTTACTTATAAAATTGGATATTAAAAATGTAATATCTCTACAAATCGATTAAATCTTATTGTCCTTGTATACATCTGTATTTAATATCAAAAGCCTCCTCTAGGCAGAGGAGGCCTTTGCCCATCAATTCATCAAGTATCATGGTAAAGTCCACCACGCGGCCCCACTGCGAATTGGCGGACTTCACATATCTTCGAAATATTTTTTTCTTGTTAATATATCGAATATGCTGGTTTCCTCACGATGCTGTCATTCCCCGCGGAGCACTTGATAAATCAGCACTTAAAATTAACAATTTCATTGGTGCTGGCACCGGGGATTGAACTCAGGCTACTAGAGTATATTGAATTAAAAGCGTGCGCACGGACACTGGGCTATCACGGCTCTGTATAGTTATTCTGTATCTTTATGTTGGCAACACTAAAGGAAGTGATTCCTTGAGGTTGTTGGCAACACTAAAAGAAGTGTCATTCTGTGAGGTATAAATGAAGCTGCAAGAAGCATTTCATGGTCTTCGTCGTCTTCGTCTTCTTCTTCGGCTGTCAAGAAGGAGTATACGCGATAATGCTGCCCAATCAGTATCGCAGATTAAATAGTTAGAGTTGAGTTTCTTATGTGTAAAAGTGATAAAATAATTAATTATACCAGTGTTATTGTTGTGCAAAGTGAAACTACGGTGATTTGAAAAGTATTTATATTTATTTCTACCTTCTTAGCCCGATAAAACAAAGTATAGCTAACATATAATTGTTAATAATATTACCGTTACAATTATCCAATTGCATGTGACACATGTGTCGTGTCGGTTTCATCACAATAACGACGTGGGTTCATTGTGATTATACATCACCTCTAAATCTTCCACTCGGAACGGGCTACATCATTTTGATCTTAGCAAAGCGTACAATCGACACACCCTTGCTTTTATGATCCGTGGCACAGCACTAGAGGTGCTTAGCGGGGAACTGCAATCGCATATCTAGGTTACATGTTCTGCAATGAAACTGTTTTTAAAAAATA